GCCTATTGTCTCATTTTATACTATAGTTCTGTTAGTTACATGTGGTACGATCACTACAATGCAACTAACTATGGGATGCTAAGGATGATCAAATCTTAACATACACAATATAATCCAATAGAATAAGAACCAAACATTAAAGAAAAACCAATATCAACATTAAAGTAAAAATCACATAATTTGCAGTAGAATCCACTATGACCCTAGCTATGAGTTTAGTTACTCATAACAAAATAAACTACGAAGAACGTGATAAATAAACCCATAACCACAAAGAAAAACTTGAATAAAAGAAACCCAGAAAGTAAAAGACGAAAAGAGTTCTTGTTCTCTGAAGGGAATCACTTGCTTGGACTCCGAGAGGAAGCTCGTTGTCCTTGTCAATGGTCTCCAATGATTCTCAAAGATGAGTTTGGTTAGAACTAAGAAGAGGAAGAAGGTATGTAGAGAAGTGGAAGTGTCAAGTGCGGAACATAAGGTCTCTTTATATAGGCCGTGCCCTGAGTTTCCAGTCGGTTGAGCACTTTTTTTTTTAAATCAGTTTTATCTACAATCAAAATCACTCCAAATCTTTATATCTCAGTCTTTATCTAAGTTTAAATTTTAAATTCAAAATTCAAACTCAGATTCACATAGCACAGCCAAAGAATAAAAGTATCTAAATTTTATCCAAAATATCTCCATAATACACTAATAATAACTTCCAGCTAAACTGCAATAATTAATAACATAATTAGTATAAATATATATGAAATAGGATTTAAATGTATAAATAGAAGTCATAAAATATATCAAAATATGAACTTATCAACTCTTCATACTTGAGATTTGCTTGCCCTCAAGCAAAAGTCCTGTAGGATATCATTGTCGAAGCAGCCTTGAAGCGCTATCTTTCTCTGTCTCCAGAGTCTTCCTTCTCTACCTCTTTTTTCTTGAAATTGTTCCCTATTAAGCTCAATGAGATAGGGACGCCATTAACCACCTTTACTTAACAGTTATTGGAGTCTTTACATCAGAAACCACCTTGCCTTCCTTTGACTTTGGATACTGCATTTGTCCCCTCATAGCGTCTTCTACTTCTCTCTGACATAAATCCCTATCAATCTCTTTTTATTTCACTCCTAGGTCACCGTATTTTTACTTTTCTGTTTTGCCCTTACTTTATCATTTGGTTCCCAATACCTTCTATAGTAATTTCTTAAAACAGACTATTTAATAGTGGATCTTAGATAAAATACATTGGAGAAAGCAAAAAATTTATAATAATTTTTTTTACATAAGATGGATTGTAATTAAAATAACATTAATAATTTATTTTGAAGAGATAAATGAATTTGAGAAAAAGAAATACAATTAATAATGTGCTTTTTATTTAGTTAAATAAAAAATAATGAAAAAATAGTTTTTTAGAAATAAATTTTCAAAATTTCTTTCAATTTTTAATTTAAATTTTAAATTTTTTTAATTCTTATTTTCATTCTTATGAAATAATTAGAAGGTAAAAATGGTTAAAAAAATTAAATTAAGTTTCAGTCCTTAGGAATGTAAATTAAATCTCTTAAAAATTATAAATGTAAGTCATATTGATCCTTTTAAGAATTAATGAAACGATTTAAACTATTACATACTAATATATTTAACATTAAATTTATTAGAAAGTAATTTGTGTATTTGATTATATATTTATATAATCTCAGGATTTTTGTTAGTACTTATATCAGTTAATAATTTTTATAAAATAAAAAATTAATCAATTCTTTCGATGATTTGAAACTCCTTATCAATTATTATATTAACTTTGTAAAATTTGATTCCGAAATAAAATTGAAAAATACTTCATCTCATTACTTTATTTTAATAGTTAATATACTTTTTAAATATAAATAAATATTAAATCTTTTATAACATGCTAATAAATATTTAAATTATATGAAATTTAATATATATAATCATAAAAATAATATAAAATAATTTAATAATAAAATTAATTCATTTTACATTCTATGAAAAGTTATTAAGTTATGTGTTTAAGTTTAACACTTTGATATTAACAATTATTAATTCATATTTACATGCTCGTACACATACTTACTTTTACAACATAATTAACATAAGAAATGTGTATTTTATTGATTCTACCATTAAATTATAACTATATATTATGTTGATTATCTGTGTCAAAATTTATTAAAATTAAATAATCATAAAACTCTAATCAAAATGTTCTTCTTAATTTTACTATGTATGAATAAAGTATTAAATAATTTTGAATTACTAAAAAAATTTGTAAATATAATATATATGATTGGAACGTTTAATCAGACAGTTAGTTTTATAATAAAAATTATTAAACAATATAAAACGAGGGTAATTTAGATTGGTGTAATTAATGTAGAACAGAATAATTCTCTGATTTCAAAAAGAATATAATCTTTTTCGTAATGTTTAAGAAATATCTTTAATGTATAAAAAACAAAAATTTGTTTCAGCCAAACCCAGTTTTTAGTACTTTTTTTTAAGGTACACACTTTATATATACTTTATTTACTCTGAATTGATCGTTAAAGTATCATGTCATTAAGCTTATTGCTGCGACAAACCAAGGTAGGAGATCTTTGACGTATTCAAGGCAGCAAATATATGTTGTCCATTGTGTGTGAGGCATGAAACAACTAGCAACAACGTCAAATTCGTTAAAAACTAACTGTTATTGACATTTTTCTTTTAGTACTTATAGAGAATCCAAAATATGTGAGACTACGTTGCAAAAATGGGAGCTTCTCGCCCTCCTTAATCTTGCTGTTTGTGAGATTGATTTTGGATCCTATGTGGCTGACTCCATGGATGTTTCTTGTTTGTAATGATACTCTTACAAAAAAATAATTACAAAAGTTCTTCTAATTCTTCAAATAGACGTTAATTTTCTCCTCTCTTAATATATATAAATGAAATCTTTCTCACTGAAGACGTGCTCAAATATTAATATGGACAAGTATTATTTTACTCTAGCAAAGCTGTGTGGTTCATAGTTGATAGTTACAGAACCACCAACCAATCCAAATCTTTCAGTATGAATAAAAAACAGCTAAATATATGAAAATAGTGCACATCATGAGTGGGTATGAGCCAATAAGCTTTGCTCATCTTCATGTGGTCTCCAATAATGAGACTCAATTCAGGATTAGTGTAAATAAGTAATATAATGAACCAATGACCACCCACTAGAAGTCAAGGAGAACCTTCATTCTTCCTTTGGAATTTCTTCTTGTTATTTCTTATTTATAGTTGTGTCGATTAAGAAAAAATAACACATTATTTTTCATTAAATAATTATTTATCAAAATTAAATTCAAATTGATGATATGTCAATTAAAATTAATCTATTTTTACACAATTTAAAATAATTAAGTTGTACGCAAAACAAAACTTTATTTTTCTTCGGACATGTGTGAATGGCATTCCCCTAATTTAAGATCCGATCCCGAGAAACAATTGTTTAGTTCCCATTATTAGGTGAACTTTCTCAAGCGCATTTCCCACTATGTAAACTAGTGAGGTTTTTGTATATTGATGATAAACATTCCATATTTAATAGTAGAGTTGGAAGGAGACAGATAGGATAACTACGACTTTATATTATTATGATAGTGCTCAATCTGCCAATTATTGGCCATCAGAACATAACTTTAGAAGTGTAAAAAAGAGGGCCATTCAACTAGCATAGGATTCTAATCTTTCTCTCCACATGTGACTTGTCGCTTTACCATATGAATCCATTTGCTAATATCACGAAAGCATTACGGAGAACCTTCCCACTATCAATACAGCCCTGGGGTGAGTGGGGTTCCTTTGGAGAGAGATAACTTCTATTTATGTCCAACACTTACATTAGTACTAGAAATTACTTCACTCAGTTCGCGAGTTACACTTAATTTTGTTAACATTTTAATAAACTAAAATTTACAAGTTAATAATAATTAGAGCTTGAAGAGAAGATTATTTATTAAATAAGTTGAGCTTAAACTTTCTCTTATTCGATTCTTAACTTGTGTTAAACTCACTACACACCCATTTATATGCAAATTTTCAATTGAAATGTAGAAAAAATTTATTGATCATATGAATTTAAGATCAGCGAACAGTCCATAAGAGTGAATCCAACTTGCTTGAAGAAAATAAACTTTCTTATGATGTCTGAAGTTAGTTTTACACCCCCCCCCGGGGGGGAAGTTTTATGTCAAAGAATTTAAATTTAAATTATATAATATTCTCCCATGTTTACCTAAACTTATGGAAACCATTTTTTAAGGATTTATTTAATTTATTTTAAGTAAATTTAATACATTGTATTAAAATTTTATCAAATGTTTATTCAGTATTTTATAAATAAAAGTATAGTAGTACATCTAAGATAGAATTATTTATCCCATAAAATTAAGAACGTATACAATTTTCTTAAAAAGCTAAGTTAAGACATTAAACTAATCAGCACTGAATATTGTGCCAAAACAAAACGAGTATTTATTATGTGTGAACATATGGGGCGTTCTATGTAACTATATATGACACTAAACTCTGAATAGTGAAGATAATATAGCAGAGTATAAAGGTGACTGATACTTGGCTATAAGCACTTATAATGTGGGACTTTGGTTTGGTCCAGTCAATTAACAATAAGAAGTAGCCGTGCAGCATCAGCCTACCTCATTGAAAAGGATTGTACTCCTCCATTTCTCATTTGGCAACTAAACTATTGGATACTTACCTTAAATTTTGACTTCAAATTTCTCACTCCTGCGCGTGTTCATAAACAGTGACACATTTACTATAATTTTAGTTCTTGCTTAACAAGTTGCAGAGAAAAGGAAATAGTTCTCTTTTAACCATCATATCTTAAGTAGCATAAACACGCAAAGTTTAATTAGGAAATCAACCATTTCAATTCAGTTTCATTATCAAAAGCAGAAAAAACAGAATAAGATCAAGAACATGATCCAACCAAGATGTCATTTTAATTTTTATTTAGTTTTAGATTGCTCTATACAAAATAGTCCTAATCGCTGAACTACTTAAGCTCTAGCTACTTAATAAAAACAGAAAAAAAAAAAAAGCACTTAAAACTAGAGAAAACTAAGATACACAACAGAACCAAAAGCTAGCTATTTCTAAGACTGAAAGTGGCTACTTTTTATACTTTTTCAATATCTTGTCTTCATTGCGATCAATTGGCCCGTTCAACGTGGCGTATAAACACAGTTTCTAAGTCAGGTGGCGTGAAGAACTCTCTAACAACACCACGATAATTGCACTTGAGAGAAGGTTTTCGCTTCCTAGGAGCAGGTGGACACGTGAAGGGTGTAGGGATCTTCGATTCCACACTTGTTGGTGTCGTTGAACACTCCTCTGTTTCAAGCTCTTCCTTTTGTTCCTTCTCAACTGGGATGGTATATATTGGCTTCAACGGTGCTCGTAAAGCGATTCCTGCGATGACCCATTTTCTATTATTATTTTCTGACTCAAAACCCCCTTCTACTTGCGCCTTCTCAGAGAACCCCATGTTGATCCAAAAGCAAAATGATATATAAGTAATCTCTATAACTATAAGTAAACAAAGAAGGGAATAAATAAAGATGGTTTGTTTTCTATTGCCTATTTGGTTCCTTTTTCTTTTGGGTTGTGAATTGGCGAAGGAAGTGGGAAAGTGTTGACTGAAGAAAAGGGGGGAAGTGGGAAATAAAGAGAGTAAAAGTTATGGGAAGGGTTTGGGTTGTGTGAAAGAGAGGGGACAGAGGAGAGGGAAACTGAAGAGAGGGATGGTAATGAAATGAAACGAGAGAAGGGAAGAGTGAGATACGGTTATTAAATGTGGAAGAGAGTGTGACGTTGGATGTTGCGTGTTAGAGCTTAGAAAAAGAGCTTAGAAACCAATTGGCGAAGCGAGAACCCAAGGAAACTCGTGACATAAGCACTGACCATTAAATAAACAACACCAATTAGAAGCCAGAAAGAGAGAGAGAAAGCTGGGAATGCCCGTGAAAATTGCTGAACTTCAGGTAGGATATATAATATATTATAATATTTAATAATACAAATTTATTAATTTTCTATATCAACTCCCATTTTTTTGTTTTATTCTTTTTGGGTTTTTCGATCTTAAACTTTTACAATTTTATTTTAGGTATGTTTGTTGAATTACTAAAAAATTGACATAATATATAATATTTTATATAATTTTTTTTAATACACACTTCAAAAATATACTTTAAAATACAAAAAGAAACTTGAAGGTAAACTCTTAAGATGTTCAAAAAAATTATTTTCCCCTTTATTTTTAATCTTTTGTCGTGTGTTTAGGTTTTATTATTACTTAAGAAGGATTATATTTATCCATCACTTACTAAATTATTTGAATATTTTAAAACCAGTTCCCATATTTTGAAAGTTTGTAATTAGATTTCTAAATTTTTAAATTATTTTAATTGAATCCCTTCAGTAGAGTTCCGTTTGGTTTCGTTAAATACAATCTTCTAATTGAAAATTTTAAACAACTTAAGAATCATGTCACAAGTTTAATAATTCAATAAATTTTTTAACTAATTTAATTTTTTTTAATTCAATTTAATAAAGATCTAATTTAGATCGTATACCTAGATATAGTGAGTGAATTTATAATGAAAGATTTTTTTGCATACACATAAATTTGAATCCAAAAGTGATATCAAGTCAATAATATTTGTCAGTAACTAATTCAAATTTTTAATTAAATCCTAATGGGAGTTAATGAGAATGTGATTAAAGAATCGATTAAAAATTATTTAACGACTCAGCGACTTGATTAAAGGATAGACACTTAATTATTTAAATTTCAGCAAATAGTTTAAGAATATGCAAAGTAATTTAACTAAAAAAAATAACAACTAATGCTTCTTGGTAAAATAATCATCACTTTGAACTTATATGTTTCGATTAGTTTATTTTTAAGAGAATATTAATAAATATTTTTAGAATGCTGATAAAGAATTAAAAATGAAAAGAATTACAAATATACTCATTTTAATTTTAATGATAACTCCACCAGATTGTAATTTTTTATTTTTTAATATATTGATCATTTTTCCCATACCATTAGATAGTATAATCTTATTTAAAAGAAATATATTTTAAAAAGTAAAAAATAAAGAATTAAACAACACATGTTATATGTTTATTTGTTCAATCCAACCCAATTTATAGTAACTCAAAATATTTCTTTTTTATGAACAAGGGCTTAATGTTGAAGTAATAAAATAATTCAAAATAATTTTTTTTAAACTATACGTATCTTCCATGAATGTAACTACTCAAGTAAGATTATTATGAGTAGCAAATATTTTTTTTAGTATTTAATACAATTATATTTAATGTGACTCGAACACAAGTTGAATAATAACTCAAAATAATTTCAAATATTAAAAGTGTCAGATGAAATAATTAAGAAATTTATTTTATTGATTATGTAAATTCTTTTTTCATTTTCTGAAACTATTTTATTTTTGAGAATCATGTTTCGTTGGAGTTTTGATTTTTGAAAAAGTTGTAAATATGCTTGATGCCTTAAAAATATTAGTAGAAATATTAAACAACATCATGAATATTTTAATTTTTTTTCATTTTCATGAAAAACTTTGAATTCCCACCCCTTTTACAAGAATGTTATACTAAAAATATGATAAAAAAAATAATTTTTTCTTAAAAAAATTCTTACCAAATTAGCATTTTCAATTTAAGAGTCTTATAAAATTTAAAACAATTCGCTGTCAAATACTCTCTAATACCAAGTAAATGCAAGTGTAAAGATTTACCTAGCTTTTATAATAAGGAGGGAAAATCACTTTTTTTTTTCTTAATAAGAATGCATCAAAAGTCCAAAAACTAAAAGGACAAATATAAAAGTAGTGCTGATAAAAATAATTTACTTTACATTACATTTCATGTCGTTGAATTTATAGTCTGAACATAAACAAACTGTAGATGTAATATGGAATTTAATTGTGACATGTAAAAAGCGAGTAGTGCTGCATTCAAATGATATAGTAACAGTTCATGATCTTAATTAAATAAAATAATAAATAGGTTAAATCACACCAATCTGTTTACCACATTTACTTTTTCAATTAAAAAGAAAGCGTCAAATGAAATTTATACAGCTAGTCATGTATGAAACGCCTTACAAGATTCTTCAACTTTGTATATGATCCAAATATTATTACATAGTAATATTTCATAATTTTAAATTAAAAACTTTGGATTTTCTAAAATTCAGCCTACCCAGTTAGTCTATACAATAAAATAATATACACATAGGACATAGCTTGAGTGAGAGAGATAAAGAAGTGGATTTGGGCGCCAAGCTTTCAAAGAGAAAGGAAGAGATTGGGTTGAAATTGGCGCCAATTATTTAGGGTATTGTGATGGATCAATAACATTCCCAAGTTATTCCCCAATGCTAAAAGTCATATGCAATACAAATCACCTTTATCTTTTGGCCAAACTTTTTGAAGATGCGTTTTATATGGAATCATATCACCAGCAATCAATATCTTGTTTTGCCAATTTTGTTTTTCTTACTCACTGTTAATGATTGAAGATTCTGCATCGCCATGGCGATTTGTTCCTTATCCTCTTCATTTTTTAATTTTGATCAAAGCTTTTCTTATTCTAAATTCAAGGACAATAACATTGTGGTGGCTCGAGGTCGACGTTTTGACGGGAGAATTTTAAAGTTAGTGCTGCTGATGCTTATCTTTTCCCTAATTTTGTCCTCCAAATGATATTAATTCAATAAAAAAGAAATATAATCCTAACTATTTTATTTGTAGAAGCTCATTATTATCAATTTTATCCTTTATTAATATAAAGTGTTGTCATTTTGATTCTTCAAAATTTTAACAATAATTTAACTCTTCACTAAAGCAAAGTAACATTTATTTATTTATTAATAGTGCAAAAGCCATCAAATTAACTTCTAAGTTATAAACTTTGTTACACTTATTTCTCTCAATCCAACAAGAAAACATGATCAAATTATAAGATAGTTTGCAAAATTTAAAAGATAGGAAGGAAGGTTTAATGATAGAAAAAAAAAAATAGTATAAGAAAGTAACTTGAGAAAGTAAGAAACTAAAAGTGAGTAAAAGTGTAATTTATATATATAATAAATGCACTCATACTATCATTTATGGGATTCTTAGTCTTCGACCCAATCGTATAGATTCTAATCCACCTTGGCTTGGTTGATCAAACCTTTACTAAATCAAGCATTTACTTGATATATACTTAATAGGCAGTGCTGCATCTTATGGTGCTGTCTTTATTCAAAAGCAAAGAATTTAAGTTATCAACTCACACTTTTTATTTTAGGAATTTTAGAATATTCAACGGTTAAAAGATTTATACCATACTAAAGTTAATTTATAGCAACGCTTAAATATTAATACTGTGTCGTCTCACTCACATTTGAACCTTTTAAATAAAGCACATTTACACTATTAACGTGTCTTTAAAATACCATTACCTATTTAAATTTGGATATTTGGAGCATACTAGGATATTGTTTGCTCGGTGAAAGTTGTCACTTGTCAGAAAATATTGCTCTTATAATTGCTAGCCATGGAGGTAAGAGCCACTTTGATTGTTCTATTAATATTTGGGCTATGGGTTATTTTCCTCATATATATATATACATGTGTGTGTGTGTGAACCCAAAACCAAAGATCAGTTTGAGATGTCCTTAAAATCGAAAAGGAATTGCCAACTAATGTTCAAGTTCGTACAAACACATTTGACTCCGTTTTTAGTTGTAATTCTTCATTAAAAGTGTAGAAATTAGCTACAGTAATCATGGATGCAAACCCAAGCATTAAAATAGATCAGAATAGTGCCAAAAACTTTAATTTTTTGGGGGGCTCATTTCCAAGTTATACATCTCGGGTGGCATTTGACCTAGTTGCTAAGGAAGAAAACAATGATCCTGCTTCAAATTTTACCTTTAACAGACCTTACATAGCACCAATGTTAGTTCCATCTTACCAAATATATATCTAACAATATTTTTGTCACAAGAGCTATGTAAGATTTAATTTCGGTCTATTTTGATAAATTTATTAATAAATGCTTGTAAAATTTAAAAATTAAGTAATAAAATAAAATAAAAATTTAGAAGTTAAAATTATTTTATGCTTCTCTATTTTCTTATAAACTTTCTCATTTAATAACATTTTTAAAATTTGAGGAGTATAAATTACTTTTACCTTATAAGATACTTTATTCATTTTTATATTAATTTTTTCTATAAAAATTATTTAGAAACTTACCTAAACTAAATACTATTGGTATTAATAGCGTTAAGCATGAAAAACAATGTAATGGTTTAACAATTTATTTAAATTTATAAAATTTTGCTAAATACATGTATGAAAATTATTATATTTTTTTATGATTATACTATAATTTCTTTTACTGTGTGTATTCCAATAATACTTGATATTTTTATAGATAACTAATATTTGTTTGGTATTTTTGTTTTTTTTTTTGGGTAACATGTGAAAATAAGGCAACAAAAGGTACAAGAAAATTGTTGTGAACAACACATATCTGGTCTACTGTTAAAAAGAGATTCAAATCTGAACGGGGTTATGAAGATGTTTGAAGTAATTATGATAATGAGCATCAATTCTTAAAAGTCAATCCACACATCTCTAGGCGTGTGTTGTAGAGAAACTCGTCAATCCCTATTCAAAAGTTGTTGAATTGAGGTAATCACGAAGACATACTTGTGAAATGTAGAACAATGATTCATAAAAATGAATCAGTTGATCAACAAAATATGGTTTTAAGACTTCATTCTAGGCTACAAAGAGGTCATGATAATACTTTGCAATAAAAACCATCAGAATTTCGAATAAGGCCACCAAAACTTGCAGGACTTAGGTTACCAACGTTGCTACCGGACATGCAAAGAATAAAACTCTTGAGAGGT